GTTTTGTGTGTAGGCCCCTCTGTCTTGCCACCCAGACAGGTAGGCGTTTTGCTGCGCTGGCAAAGCCCGCTGATTGGCTGCCGCTGGCACTGCCGCCGGCACCGCCGGCTGTGCAGGTTGCGCTGCAGAACAATGCCACAGCGCTGGACCTGGCGCAGCTGCTGCCCCAGCGCTGGCACGCCTTCCTCCGCTGATGCCGCCCTACCTTAGCGCAGCCTAAGGTAGGGCGCGCCGTTTCTGCCTTGTCCTGCCAACTCAGGCGCATGGCGCGGGTCCCCGTCTGCACCAAACCGTGCACGCCAGCCTCGCTGCCACGTGCCGCCCTGCCCGGCTCTGCCTGCCGCGCTGACTGCCGCCCCGTTGCTGCCCTCCTCCCGCCCGCCCCACGGCGGCGTGTGTGTGTAGGTGCTGCTGCAGAACAATGCCGAGGCGGTGTTGGTAGCTGAGATCATGCCAGCCCAGTGGGCCTCCTACCTGCGAAACGCGCCGCCAGAGCCGCTGCGCCCCTTCTCCAGCGCCTCATGCTCCTCGCCCTGAGCCGGCCCCGCAAAAGCCCACCTTTCCCACCTCCCCGCTTCGCCCCTCAGTCTTTCTTTCATTCTCCAAACACGCACCGACAGTTTGGCTCAGCAGCTCCTCGCCCCCACTTTGCTCTCCCGCTCCTCGTCCCTTCTCTCTCTTTTCCGGCACACTGAGCCCGCGCCGCGCTTTCCTCCCTAGCAGGTCGCCGTCCTGAGCGACACGCAGCCAGCGGTGCTGGCAGAGGCCATGCCCACGCGCTGGAGCGACTTCATTCGCAACGCCCCCATGGAGACTGTTCGGCCGCTGGGCACCCGCAGCGCGCAGCCGCAGAGCCCGCAGCGCTACGCCTCGCCGCAGTCCCTCACCAGCGGCAGCGCCACCGCCTTTCTGTACCCGCCACAGCAGCCGCCGCCGCAGCCGCCGCAGCCGCCCGGCGGGTTTTAGGAGGCCCAGCCGCCGCGGCCCGCGGCTCTATGCAGGCGTGGATGGCGGCAGTCGTGCTGAGAGCTTGCCCACCCCTGCTCCCGTCTTCCCAGCCCTTCTCTACGTTTTGCTCCTCTGCTTCTCGCCCCTCCTCCCGCTTCTTCTCCTGTACTGCTCCACTGTCAGATGCCCCCTGCCATCAGCCTGCCCCCCATGTTTCTATTCTTTGCCCCGATTTGTAAACCTTGGCCTGTACTGTTCACAGGGGTGTGTCATGAAGAGGGAGCTCATGAAGAGGGAGCTCATGAAGAGCGAGCTCTCTGAGGAAGAGGATCCATGTGCATGGTGGGCGCTATCGCAACTGTGCAATCAGGGTCGGCACCTCGGGAGCTCGCCAGCGGCTCCCAATCCGACAGCCGCCTGCCAGCCAGCCAGCCCGCGCATGTGGCCGCCTCAGGCGGGGATGTAGCCGCTGCTCCAGGGCACAACTGGGCCTGTGGCAAAGTACTCGGGCTGCTCCCCGGGCGCCAGCTG